GATGATTGCAGGACTTTACGGGGTAAATTTCCCTCCAAGAAATTCACTTAACACAGTATTAATACTGTGTCAGAGATTTTATTTGGGGGAAAATTTACACCATAAAATCTACTATCATCAGTGCTGTTGCTTCAGCTTTGATTTACTGTGTGTAAACTGTATCAATGACATTTTTGAGAGGAAATTAACCCTGTAGATTATTGCTACATGTATCTTTAAGATGTTTCAAGTCATAAATACTGTATCAGTTGTTGTCTTTGTTGGGAAATTTATCCCGTAAAGTCTTGCTATCGTTTTATGTGAATATGCATTATCCATATTCCCTCTAAATGTTTTCAAATCAGTTTGGTTTTCACGCTAGATCATCTATATACTAAACACACGCTGAAATTTCACCATCGTTTTAATAAATATTATATAAAATTCCGTATTTTGTTTGATTTTGTCAATACCTGAGGGCAAAATGCTTAAAAGAGAAAAAAAAATTTCTGTTTTGATTTTGGAATGCGTTTTCTTTCAATTTCAGCATGTGTTGCTAAATATTTCAGCTTTTGTCAAGCTATCAAAGATTTAAAGTCTTTCTTTTTATACCAATATCTGCAATTAGGAATTTGCATAATTTTTGCATTGCAATTTGAATTACAATTTGTTGGAGTGCTTGAAATTTCTTAATTTTGGATTTGTGTTTTGCTCTCACTTTTTTGCCTCCTATACACTTTGATTTTTTATTCAATTACTTGCCAGGAAATACGATTCATCATTTGCTAGACTATACACTGAGAACAGACTTAAGTCAAAAATTTCAAATCAATATAATTTTTTATATAATTTTGATAATAAAACAATTTTTTTTACAATATCTTTGTATTGAAATATTATGCAAACTTGCAAAGTTTTGATAACGATAATCATAATTTATTCAAAATCAAAATTTTGACTTAAGTCACTTCTCAGTTCATGATCTCCTGGCTAGATCCCAATTTGAACTTCATTGCTGTAATAATCTTCATTTCCCATCTTATGTCATAATTGGTTCTCATATCTATATCCTTTATATGAATTAGTACAATAATGAGCAGGAATCAAGCAAGAAACAAAAGTTCTCATTGTTTTTTTTTATAGATTATTCTTTGAAACTTCTTTCATTTTTTTTAATGATAATGATAAATCGCACATTTCAATTATGAAAATAAAATGAGTAGAATAAAAGTTTTAAAAATCAAATTTAAACTGATCTAACGCAGTCGTTTAAAAAATCTTCAAAATATTTCCACACCCATGCCTCTTTGTTCAAGGAACAACCATAAAAAGCAGAAATAAAGGATTGATTATTGTAAGATTTAAACATCTGTAAAACATTGTAATGAAAAGCATTTTTAAAAGTAGAATCGTATCTAGTCCAATGTAATTTCAAGAATCGTTATTGCAGCATTAAATATTCTATAAAAAGATCTTAATTCCCTCATCCTACTTACCTTTCAATGTAACATATTTTGCAATAACGTAGATTAAATGGCCTAACAAGGTTCCTATGTGATTATTTTAAACTTGTTTTCATTGACAAGCGTCTTGTTAGGAGGAACAGGCTAAAGATTTCTAAAGATATAAAGAATAAAATTGGCTCATTTTCAAAAAGTTTAATATAGACTTAACAACATCTGTTTGACCAAGTTGTAGTAATTGTTGATGTTAAAAAATGTTGCTCCATGTCAGAAGTGTAACAGAAAAAAAGTAAACATTACATACAATTATACACAGAGTGCAACCAAAAAGAGAAATCTGCGTACAATCTACCACGAGTAAAACATGCCAATTAGCTTTTTCCTGCTTTATCAATACATACAGGTGATGAGTCTATAAAGCAAGTCTTTAATGTAGCTAACTAGGAAGCTTTGATTGATCATAATAAGATCTTTTCTGTATAACATATATATCAAATATTCAGTTTTCAAATCGAAGAAAGAATATGTAAGCATAAATATAGTCAGTCATCACTGCAATAGTAGTTAATACGATATTTATATAATAGTGTTGCATTATGCATGTACTATGCCTAAATAGTAGGCAGGGTTTGACACATGGTGCACGAGCCGGAGGCGAGTGCACTATGTGTCAAACCCTGCCTACTATTTAGGCATAGTACATGCATAATGCAAAACTATTGTTATTATTATGCTGACTGTTGTAATTATTTATGCGGCAATCTATTTAACTTTTTCCTGAAAACATGGGTGCTAACACAGCGCACCTGCAAGAACTGATTCAAAATCTTCATGCTAAAATTGGTTGCATGCTAAGTTATTTTGATTACTAGTATTTTCTCTAAATAAGTCGGGATTTTCCGTCCCAAAGCAACTCATCTTTATTTTCCGTTGTGTAAGTAATACTGATTTGTTTGAAGACGTCGATTCTCATTGATATTTTTCTTTTACATCCTTCAATCAAGCGCTATATAAAAAAGCGTTTTAATGACCCCGTGATATCAGTTCATCTAACGATCTGTATGTAATTAGTTTGAAACTTTGTTGTACACATTTATCTAAGGTTACTTAGAATAATATAACTGTTTTCAAATGATATTTGTCTATTATCTCCTTCTTGTGTCAATTGTGTAAATTAAGTTTATATATTTAATAAAATCCCTCCATTCAGTGATCGTCTCTGTGGCGTAATCGATAAGGCATCGGACTGACAACCGCATGGTCGTGAGTTCGATTCCCGGCGTGTGCATGGAAGAATATTAATCAGTAAATGAAGCCGTGCACTATTTCGGCATAGTATACATATACTATATAAATCCTTAGACCACTATGCGAGAATAGTATGGTATGGGTTATATAGAGACAAACTGACAGGAAGCATAATAATAAACAACAGACCAAGAAAGACTGCAAAGTACGTTTTAACATTTTAGGATACCATGAGGCTTTGGTGTCGATTTCTAATATCAATCAGTACATCAATATCTTGTTTTGTGTTGGGCTTCATGAGATACTATTTCAAGGTTTGTATGTAAATATCTACTACAATGAATTAAAAATTACGCTAACAATATATGTTTTAATTCCACGGTGTGAAAAATTCACGATATCTCAAAAAGTTCCGATTGCGATGGTTTTAATTCACGATCCAAGAAATTAATTCAAAATTTCATATAAACATTTAAACGTTTTGTTTTTAAAACTAATAATAACATTCACGCTGGGTTTAATTTCACGGGAAAATGATGAAAAACGAACATAGCGAAATTAAAACCATCGTAATTATTTGCCAATTTACAGTATCTCAAACTAAGTGGAAGATAAAAGAATGTTTGCAGGTTATTAAGTGTGAGAATTTAACAGCATTTTTCATGGCTCTTGAAAAGCATGCCTTGTTAAGAAAATGATATAGTAACTGAAGGAATTCTACTGTAATACACTTCTAAGCCTTTTGTCAAAATAATAGAGGTTTTAAAAAAGTTCTAATTAAATGAATGCACATTAATCCTCTACATACACTTTAAACTCAATGTTGCAATACTTGACATCTTTATTCCCAATTCAATGTGGAATATGAACATTTAAGGAAATGCTGGCATTTAGGTTCCCAAAATTTATTGGATAATATTTTAAAAATCAAAGGGGGTCATTTAATTTTTTTGTTTACTTGCATGGTTTTAGACTGTATAGGAGATGAACTGAAAGGACTAATTGATGGAAATGGCATACGTTTGTGTATATGCTCCAAGGGAAAGTGGATCTGCCCATTCCATTTAGACAATACAACGGCTACTGATATATGTAAAACGGGTAAGAACATGCTTATTTAACGCCATTATACGAAAAAAATCAAGATGTGTTCGTGAATTACAAATGTCTCCATATACCAGCTTAAAGGTTGTTTAAAGTTTCACAAACTCAAATCATAACCTTTTAAGCACTATGATCCAAATTTAAGTTAAAATTAAATGATCAAACACCAAGGTTGGGGTCAAGTGTATTGTCATCAGAAACAAACAAGGAAAAAATATAAAAGCCCTATGACGAGCTGTTCAAAAGGTATGGCCAAGGTCAAAGGATTTAAAAATACTTCACGTTCCAAGTTCAAAAGTGATGATATCCAAGAGTTGAAGTATAATATTTTAAAATAGAAAAATATATCGTCATACACTTACACACTGTCTTTGCTCTTTTGAATTCAGCACTATTGTTGTTTTACAGAAAATTATTTCCATTGAGCCAATCAGAAAGAAAATTAGAACTGAAAATTTTTTCTTGATTATGAATATATGATTTCTTCCTTATTTCAAAGAACAACCTGATGATGGCAGGTTTATATGTAATGCAGGAGATATCAAACCGGGTGAGTTGCTTCACTTTCAATCTCTCACTCTTTTCTGCTCGAATCTATTATGAAGGATAAAAATTAATCAACAGTCTCGTAAAAAGGCAACATTTCGTAAGTTCTATATACAATGATCTTGTCAACAAATGTAATTTATCGTTAACATCATTTGCTGACTGACGTTTTTCATACTAATTGTTACTAGTCTACACTGAATTGTCGACGTATTTTGTCGTAATTTTCCGCCCATGATAAGGAGAACATGGAGAATGTGACTGGTTTGCAGGGAATGCTCACTCCTCCATGGCACCTGATCCCACCTTTGATGTTTTTGATGTCCTCGTTTGCTCTTTTCCTATATTGTATTGTTTAATGGATTATGTGCTTGAATACTGTTCGTTTTCTTTTCTTTTTAGACAATGGAAACATAGATGCATTTCAAAATAAAGTTATTTTTGGCTTCTTATATTTTTTATTCATCTGTCCTGAATTCTAGGTAATGAAAATTTGAATTAAAAAATTACTTCAAAGTTTAAAGAAGTTACATTATTGTTCCATAATGCGGCTATGTTATCATACTAAATACATGTAACATCCATATCTATGGCTCTTTGGGACAACCCTCTTAGTAGAAAAAAGTTTTCAGACTTCAAATCCTTCTTTTTAAGAATAAGCCTTTTCACGATAAATCTCGCACATGCGCACAAACGCTTCCGGACGGCAAACGAATTTTGTTTACATTGGTGACCTTTATACAACTATGTCAAAGCGGGAGAGTTTAAATAAGTTAAAAGTTAATGTGCTGCGAAAGCTTGCCGAAGAACACGGAATTAACGTTACTAAAAAGAAAAAAGAAGAAATCATACAGGATTTATTAATATGCCAGACGTCACCCTCTGTTCTCACACCGATCGTGCAGCAAGATTCCGCTGGAGGTTCCTTGATAGTACCCTCTCAGGACAGTTTACCACCCTTTAATGCCGTGATTTATGAGTCTCCAGACCATTCTTATATTCCCAAAATAACTTTCACTGATATTTACAACTTTATTATTGAAAGACCTACACCGTGTGGTAGTACAGTGAAAAATTTCAAGGGTCTAGACAGATCTGTCAAGCACTTCGAGGCTGGTGATGTGCAAGACATTAAGGTATCACAGGTATGGGATAAAAATGTCATTTTGTTTTTAAAAATATTATGAACTCTTATAAACTTACATGTCAATTGAATTATTCTATTTTACATTTTTTCAAATGCATGTACAATTTACATGTTTGCAAGAAAAGAACTGTGGAGTCTGGATTATTTACAGGCAGTATTATTTTTAATCAAAACATCTGAAATTATTAATGTGTCAATCATCCATTCAATAAATAAAGTGCATTTTCACATAGATAAACCCATCCGTGATCTATGTGAGAGCAACATGCCAGGCTTCTATGAAAAAGCAGCAGTACCAAGTCTTCCTATGTGTGTCAACATCCAACACAGGCAAACCACATATACAGCATGGATATTGCCAGTGTCCTATAGGGTAAAATATTTAAATAATACAGTACTATTACACTTTGAAATGCTTCTGGACTGGTTTAATGGTTTATATTAGAGTACACTACACAGAATTACAAAGCCATTATTTTTCACTGAATGATATTAGTACATTACTCATTATATTTAATATTTGTTTCACATCATAAATTGTGTCACTTTCCCTAATATGACTTTTAGTTTAAAGTTTATGTATGAAGAATTATGTTGAAATAGTCCCCACCCTCTCTGACTCCCCAAACATGACAACAATGAAGTTGACAGTTTAGGGCTTTAGGCTATTATTTTGTGAATTGGTATTCATTTATTTTAATAGTGGAAATTATATAATTCTAAAAGGATGTGTAAAATAATGAGAAATACCCTTTTCAATAAAAAAAAAAGCAGAAATTTGATACATGTACTTAAAAAGTATATACATGTATATACTGTGTAATTATGTAATTGTTTACATGCATTATTCCTTGAAGCCTTTCTACTTTTAGGTTAGCACAGGCATGTAGCCATATAGGTGCACTTCTCTTTGCACTCAGCCATGCCAAACCTGGTGAGACACAAGGAAGTTGTACATCTCAGCCATGTAAATGGATCATTCCCGGGCGCCAGGTGAAGCCGACTCGGCCCATGAGCTCTTTGCCCAAAAAGTCCAAGCCTCTACATACAGACACTGAAGATGATCCAGTTGCCTCTTTTGATCCTCGCCACTCGGATGACAAAAAGATGGATCTGCATAATACTCTGCAGCAGTTGAAAGACTTAAGAGATACCTTCCCACAAACAGGTAGGAATTAATAAATATTTCTAAATATCAATTCATATTATGATTTATTTGAGGAATTTAAGGATACATGCTTTAATGCACAAAATTTTGATGCATGAATTGGTTATTAGAACCATTTTAAGCTTAGTTTGGACTTTCAGTAAGGCATGACATTCTAGACATTGCATAATTAGCTTCTGAAATGTACACTTCCTTCACAGTTGAAATGTACATTGGATAGAAATTTGGGCAAATGCCAATCAGTGTATAGAATAACCGATATTAATATCTTAACCAATGAGAATCTTTTCGCCATTTGATGACAGGCAGTAAGCATGTAGCGCCAAAAATGTCATGCCTTACTAATAGTCCAAAATAAGTGTGAAATGGTTCTATTCTTGTACCTCAGTTTTTGATATTAATGAAAACTATAAATATTCTGATGTATTAAGAAGTTGTTTATTTTCTATGATTACTTCTTTTTTTTTATTTTATCATTACATTTTAATTAAAAAAATTTGTCTCTTTATTGGGCCTCATTATAAAGAAACTTTATGCATTTGTTGCTTAAGGTATGTCACACATATGGAATATTCCTGATGCTGTCCCAGATGCTATTCAGGAGATGGAGGTCCAGGATTTTGAGGATATCATGATTACCAGGATGAAAAGTCTCATCTTCTGTGAGGGTAATGGTAATGAAATTTGTTAATAATGTTGATTCTAAAAAAAGCATCTTAAAACATTTTTGAACAGTGACATGGTATACATTTGATCTGTACCTTCTTTTAAGTATTACACCTTATTTACATCAAGTTCTTTATTAATTTTCAAATTTCAGCACCTCCATTTGCAATTGACCATGAATTGGTAGAGTTCACTGAGAAGAGTACAAGAGATCAGAGAACATCTGACATGTGGCAGAAACTACACATTGGTCGACTGACTAGTTCTTTGTTCGGTGACGTTTTGAAAGCTGGACCCAATCCAAATTCTTTAATCAAGCAAATTGTGGAGGGTTCCAGTCTTCATAAGTAAGTTGTATTCTCCATGGTAATTCTATACATGTACTAATGTATTCTGAACTTGTGATGTAAGAAATTGTTCATTTGGTTCTGAATATTAATGTTTACCCCAAATGGGACTACAGGGATTATTAGTTAACTTTGTATTTTAATTGTACTGTAAATTTCTACAGGAAAATTACATAATCCTGAAAGCAAAATATCATAATAGTAAACAGGGGGATAATAAACTTTAAAGTAAAATAAAAAAACATAGCAGAATTTAACCAGCTATTTATACATGTAAAATTAATTAGTTTTTAGCATGTGTGTCAGTTTACTGATCTGACACCACACTTTAACATATGTAGAATACTAATCAAATTTTTGCCACTCACAAAATAAATTTGTGATATACATTTGTTTCCCAATGTTTGTATACCCTTTTCAGCTAATTTTTTTAAAAGAAACTAAGTTCTGTTTTATTTCTTTAGGTATGCTGCTCTACCACCAGCTGTTAAATGGGGACAGGAAAAGGAAGCCCAGGCACGATCTGACTATGTTAATCTGAAATCTGCCATTAACAACAACTTTTCCGTCGAAGATACAGGTCTCACTTTGTGTGCAGATCATGCGTTTTTGGGTGCTTCCAGTGATGGGAAGGTTTTGGATGGTGACAACATAGGTCTCTTGGAAATTAAATGCCCCTATTCCATCCAGGGAACCCAAGTAACCAGGAAGGAAGTGGGTGAAATTATTGCCATGGGATACCCCAATTTTTGCCTGGAGGAGAGTCTGGATGGGCCACGTCTCAAAAAGAGCCACAAGTACTATGCACAAGTCCAAGGGGAATTGGCAATTAATTAAAGGATATCCCTGGTGTGACTTTGTCGTTTGGACAGATGCTGCACAAAACAATATTTGTATTGACAGGGTATATTTTGATTCTGAGTTTGTGGCATCTATGATGCCTAGACTTATTGATTTTTATATGCACCACATAGCCAAGAAGTAATTAAAACAAACACTGTATGAAATGATATGAATCATATATTCAAAAAATTTCATTATTTGTTTTCCATGAAATGAGCTAAATGAAATTTTTAATTAACTTTATTTATTTATTGACAAAAAAACCCACATGTGGCAAGAGTCATACATATTCAAATAAAGTATTCAAATCTAGTCACTGTCTTATGTTAGATGCATGACATATGAAGTTACAAATATTTCTTGTTGGTTTAACATCCGTTGGATTAAGAATTTTATAAGATATAAATGCCTTTTCTAAAAAGTTTACAATATTCACTTCACAATTATTTATAAAGAGTTGCAAAAAAATGTTCGTATTCAACATTGGTATGACAGTAAAATGATAAAATATCAAATACCTTGAAATATTAATTTGATCACAATATCAGCCAACCTCTATTTGTTATTTGTAGGTACTAATCTTAATTTTAATTTAATATCTTTTTAATTACTCCTTCATTCTTTAATACACTGTAGAACAGGAATTCACATCAAAGTTCTTCTAGTAAAATTAAATTTTTTTTCCATTCAAATTATAAGACCTCAAATAAGCTGAGAATATGATATCCGGTAATTGCATGTAAGAAAAATATATAGTTTAAACATGTATTGAAATTGATAACTCACAATAATCAATTTTGAAATGAGTGCACTATAATGTATATTTGGAATAAATACATGTACAAATATTAATTATTAACAAGTGGAACATCCAGATTTGTAAGCCAACAAATAACCTGAAAGATCTTGGTGATAAGTGGTTTCAAGGTTAGAGGCATAACACCATCTAAAATGTGAAAATTTTTCACTCTACCTATGCTCCTCTCTACATGAATTCTTAAAGAAGCTATCTCCTGAGTTTCAAATACCTCATCTGGTGAAAACTGTGGACTAACACCTCTAAATGGGGGTATGTTCAATTTACATTTCTTTTTTTCCAACAGATCTCTTATTGTAAAGCCTTTGTCAGCCATGACACTGTCATTTTCATCTAATAAATCTAAGATACCTGAATTCATTGTCAGTTCTCTGTCTGATATCTTACCTGGCCAGCCTACAGAAACAAAAGAAATAACACCTGATGGTGTGATACCAACAAGAAACTTCACAGTTGTATGGTGTTTATAGTTAGAATATGTTAAACTCTGATTTTCAAGATTTGAAGACCTCTGTATAAAAAGCTCTGTACAGTCAAGTATAACTCTAACAGAAGAATACTTAGCTTTGAAAGATAATGGCATAGTTCTATCAATAATATCTCGAGTAGGAAATGGATTGAGAGACTTAAGTTCACAGGAGAGTAAAGAAATCCAGGTGGAAAAGTATTTCGAAAAAGTACTCTCTGAAATACAAAATCTGTAAGCTAAGTCTGATGTGAAGAGGCCGAGTCTTAATCTGATGAGAACAGCAAATAACTGGTCGATCAATCCCAATGAGCCTATTGATACTCTCTGTCTGTCTGAATCCTGGTCTGTGTTGGAACCAACCCAATACCTCATTCTCTCTGCCTTAGGTCTCAGGAAACTATCATTAAAAAAAATTATTATCGTCAGAGTTACAGTATTAAAATAGAATTCATTGTGATGCAGATGTGAGATTTGGAGAAGAGGAAAACAAATACCGTAAATCTGGAAATTTTTACGTCGATTTTATTTTGCGAATTCGGGTCAAAATGGTGTTTATTAATTTTAACGTTTCAAAATTTTGCGAATTACCACTGCTTTGTTTACATTTTCTAACTGGTAATTTATTTATAAAAAAAATATTTTTGCGAATGCAATGAATGCACAAATTTGCTAAAAATTTATCTACGGCAAAAATTTCCAGATTTACGGTATTGTTTTCTTTTTTCCCAAAATGCTTTTGAAATTCCATCATACATACTTGAAAAGCCAGGTGAACACTGCAAAGGAAGGTAGCCCAGTGTAATACTTGGTCTTTCCATCATCATTGGCAATCTTCTCTGCACTCCATTTGTGCCGATCACGTTCTCTCTTGAGATCCTCCAACTCTTTCCTCAGGGCAAGGTTCTCCTCCAGTAGAGGGTCAGGGTCACATTGTACACCTATAAATTTTGTTTTGAAAACAAAAAAAAAATTGAGAGTGGTGTTACTTTCTTTCCTGCTGAAGACAGGTTAATATTGCATATATATATGTTTCACATTACATATATTCCTTGCCTTATGCATGTATATATACCTTTATCATTAAAGGTTTTTATGTCAATGTCATCTAATTTTAATGTCTCATCTGGTACGAAGGTGCTGTTGTTGTTCATATCCTGCGAGTCTGACTCTGGGGGTTGCAAACAGCAATAGCTGTGGGTGTATAAGCTAAATTCATGGTGCTGCTGCATTAAACGTCTGTCCCTAGCTTCTGCTTCATTAATTTCCTACAATTTGAAGTTTCAAGGTAATAAAATGGTGCAAATTATTTCAAACTTTAATACATGCTGTCAATCATTTTTTTAAAATTCAAACATTGACAGTGTCATACAAAAAAACCCTCCAGAATTAATTGTCATATGTTTTATATGTAAGGAATTGTATTTATGAGTATTAATATAGAATTTTACTTAATCTATATATATAGCTAGGGCTTCATTTTATGGGTCGGGTTAAACATGTGAATAGGTTAATATTTTTTCTATTAAATTTTATAGTGATAGGTAAAGAGACCTAGCTAAAAAACGAAGGCATATAAATCATGATTATAATAATGCATTTTTCTTATGAATATGACTATAACTATACATAGTGTGTTTATTTATATGCTTATATATAAGCTACCTGCTGCAAATTTCTTCTGCATTTTCTCTCTTCCCTAGCGACGTCAGAGTCAGTTTGCGGTTTTTCTTTGTAGGTGAAAATTGTTGGTATATAGTTCTCATCCTCCACTTCGTCGCTGTGCCACCCCCCTACAAAATGTTCAGAGCAGATCCGACTGTATTCGTTCGGTGCCCAGTCATCTCTGTTAATCGCACGAATCCAAGCCTTTCTCTTCTTACTGCCTTTTGGAAATCTGAAAAAACTTATGCCCTTGCCCTTTGCTTTCTCGCCTTGGCGATTAGAACACTGGTAAACAACGCAGTGAAAGACCATTACGTTGTTATTGTAAACAACCTTGGAATGCGGATGTTTTGTTGCCGTCCGGAAGCGTTTATACGCATGCGCCAAAAACAGGACCGCAGTTAACGTGAAAAGGCTTATGTATGAATGTTTTCAGAAAATAGTAGGTATAGAAACTTAAATATTTTAACTTTTACGGCCAAAACATTTATGGGACCTTCAAAGAAAATATTGTTGAGCTTGTTTTTCTTGAACTGTGTGCAGAAATCGGAATTATCTTTACTGAAGCATGAGAATGCAGAAGATTGCTAAAACAAAACAAAATTTAGGGGAAGATAATGACTCAAAATATCCGTGAAAACAAGTTTAATTCATTTGTTGGTTTGACATATTTTATTGTAATTTCTAATTACAAAGGAATTGGGCACAAGTTCTAAAAACTTATGACGCCCTCTCCCTATATATACGTCAAAATTGTATCAATCCGCTTGACGTTACGTTTAAAATATGAACACTCTAAAGGCGTTTTAAAGAGAGAAATTGACTTGTTTTATATTCTTAATGATTGAAAATTAAATTATTTAAGGAATGAAGCTTATTTCAAGTTATGTTATCCGATATAACATAACTTGGGGCAGTTTACGCTTTATAAACCGCGAAGCGGTTTATAAATAAGCGTAAATTGGCCCAAGTTATGTTATATCGGATAACATAACTTGAAATAAGCTTCAATCCTTATAATTTAATTTCAATGTAGACAATGAGACATTTTCTCTAGAAAAAGACTTCAAAATGAGCATTATTTTAAAAGTAACGTCAAGCGGAGTGATATGTTTTTGACATAACTCATTGTGATGTAGTCAAGTTATGTTATACAAAATGGATAAAACCGTTAAACCAATCAAATGACGCGTTACAACTGAAATTAAATTATAAGGAATGAATTACATAGCAACCCAAATTATACTGTAATACCTGGGTTGGAGCAGTTTACGCTTTTTAATAAACCGCTTCGCTTTTTTACCATAGCCTCCCAAAGCTTGTAAAACAAAATATGGAACAGGGTTGCTGGCTAGAACCCTTGTGTCTATTAATCCTGAAATTTCGTAGGCTTTGGAAATACTACGGTTTGACCCATCAAGCAATAAAGTCTCAAGTCTAACTCTCTCCCTCATCACAGCCCGGCTAAACACACGTATCAGGAAAAGAGGTATGTCAGCCAGAGAGATGTGGCTACAAAGGGATCAGTTTTCAATAACTCAGATTCCACTCGCGGATCAAGACCTTATCAAAGCTCAACATGATCTCCATCAATAGAACCATCCGTATCGTGAACGAGCTAAATTTCCTTCTCAAAAACCACCATCAGAACCAGAGCTGAGCGTGGGAGATATAGTTTACCTCCGATGCGACCAAAGCCAAATCCCAAGACAGATATATCATTGTCAACATGGACTATCCTTGGTGCAACATACGCCAGTTTGCAGTTTCACAACTACGCCATAAATCGTATCGAAGGATATGGAGATAACGAACAGTATTCAATATCAAAGTCCATAAAACAATACAAAATAGGAGCAGAGCAAACACGGACCTCTGAAACATCAGAGGTGGGATCAGGTGCCATCTAGGAGTGAGCATCCCCTGCTGATCGGTCACACCCACCGTGTGCTTCTTGTCATGATCGAGTCAAAGCGTCAGACTGTTACAAAGTACCAAGTGTTAATTACCCTGAATAGCTACAAGATGTATCCCCTGACGCTTTGTCTGATGATGAATCTATCAGTCTACCAACTGATGCCAATGCACCCACCTTACCATTCATTCCAAAAGCAATATCTACGATTCATATGTCGAGCCACCAGATATATATACCTGACAATAGTGAAAATGATGACCAACTAGAACCTCATGGTGACCAACACATTTCTCATGACCAGCATCAGGACACTGAAGTAATTTGAGTTGATAATGCTTCTTCTTCGGACAGACCACAATGTCAGCGTGTTCGACCTCAGATATACTCAGACTTTGTGATGTATTGACATTTGCTTGATGCTATACTGTATATGTGTGTTGTGCTTTGTTGGGAACATGGGGCAGAATAATCCCCACACCTGAGGGTAGTCTACACAGTGACGGTGTTGTACAATATTTGGGTTTAGAATTTACACACAGTTTAATATTCTTTTGTCAGTTAAAAAAAAATTTGGACATTGTTAGTAAAAAAAAAAAGAAAAGAAAGAAATTGGTAGCGCACGACATTTTCACTTTCCGGAATTATTAATTCTACCTATGTTTATTATTGTTATGTATAATCTCCTTGTTTCCGGTTTCATTATTAAAGTGTGCGCTTTGTAAAACTATGAACCATGAACCGATCTAGAATCAAGTCAATTTTCAGATTTTGAATATCTTTTTTCAAACATAAAAATCATTGTAGAAAAATATAGCAACTTTTTTAATATTTAAAGACAAATAAAAGAATTTATATCATCAGTCTCGTTAAAAGTAATTGTGACAGTCTCTTGCTCCGGAGAGCTACTGTTGTATTAACCCCAACAAACACCTCTGAGGCTTGAAAGGCATTTATTGAAATATTGGTAAAAGAACTGTAAAAGAACAAAAAACAAGAATTACAATCTGAATGAAGCGACACAGATTACATCATACACCAACAGTGACAGAAACTGGTGACCAGACTTTAGCATATTATGTGTATAATATGAATAAATCAAACCAAGACATCAATCAAATGGGTAATGTAATAAACTTTAAAGTACAAATAATTTTATCTGACACTGGTAAATCTATCTAATAACATGAGCCAAATCTGAACTTCTTAAGTACATATGCACTACACGACTTACACCATAGATAGTAAAATAATAAACAGTTGACTAGATTTATGTATGACTAGACCTAAGACGAACATTTCAGGTATAAGTATATTAATGCAGAGTAGATTCTTAATTATCGATTATACCGATACAAATAGATTACACTGATGAAAAAACCTAACCCGAATTTTCTCTTAAACAGACATGTTTACATATAGATAAATTTCACTAGTATACCAAAATCATCCTGACATGGACAAATAATGAATTCAATTTTTACGTACTGATAGAAAAACACTTACGCTGTGGCCTGAGACAAGATTGTCAAATCTAAGAGTTAATAAAAGGCAAAAAACAGTGTGCTCGGAAGCACATGTTGTCGACAATCAAAACGAGGCTCGTTTCTGCGCATAAAAGAAAGAACCAAGGTAAACATACAAAATTCCGGGACGGAACAGTAATCATTTCGTAAGTTCTATAATCGATACATTAATGACCTTGTTAGCAAATACAATTTATATCCTAGAGTCAAATGCTGACCTTTTTATACTAATTGTTAGTCCATTATTTATAAACCGAATTGACGACGAATTTTCTGGATCATGAAAAGGAGCACACGGTGGGTGTCACCGGTATGCAGGGGATGCTCCTTCCTCTATTGTACCTGATCCCACCTCTGATGTTTTGGAGGCCTGTGTTTGCTCTGCTCTTGTTTTGTATTGTTTTATGGACTTTGATCTTGAGTACCGTTCGTTACCTCCATATATTTCATCAAAATGGTTTTTATAAATAATGGAATATGAATGTTTGATTTTTAAAAATTGTTTTAGTTGAAAATCTGAATTGAGACCCTGTCATGATGCAACTTTAAACACTTTATTGAGTCTGATACATTTGTTTCATACTTCGATATTTTACTAGAAAAAGACGAAAATCTAACAGCAATCTAACAACAACGCTCTCTGAAGAACGTGAAGACTTTTAACTTTTCAATCGTCAACTTCCCTTACTTATGCAGCAATATAGTCTGCATTAGGGTTTATATCTCTCAGTTGATTCGATACGCAAAAGCATACTCTTCGTACAAATTCTAAAGAAAGAACGAGGTAAGATATTGTCAAAGAAGTTAAATTAAAGCAGAATTTAAACATTTTTGTTTAAAATTATCATTTTGTATCCAAGTCTAATGTTCGATACAATGACCTATTCAGCAAATACAATATATCATTAAATCAAATGCTGACTGTCGTTTTTCTAGCTAATTTTCGACGAATTTTTTTGTGATTACCCTTTCATGACAAGGAGCACATGGCTGGTGTGACCGGTCGGCAGTGGATGCTCAAGCACTCCTTCTTGGCACATGATACCACCTTTGAGGCTCTAGGGACCGTGTTTGCTCTGATCTTGATTTGTTTTGTTTGAATGCTGTTTTAAGCTTGAATACTGTACGAATTTTTCGAAATTTCATGACAAAGCGTAAAAAAACTACAAGAATATATATCTGGGATTATATTTACAATTGAAATCTTTTTTTATGAAATGTTGATAATAAAGAATAAAAGTGAACTTTGTACACTTGTACAAAGTGAAGAAGCCAATAATACATGTATCGACTCATTTGGAGTAGAGGGCGTCATTTGTTTTTTTAATTAATGTCATAAATATTAGTTCATATTATTATCAAATCATTCTTGCCAAATTTCCATATTCGAATTAAGAATTTGTCTGTGTCAAACTCTAAGATCTATGAAGTATAAATCTATACTTATAAATTGATAGATTTTGAAAATAATCTCAAAGAAATGCCTGCACAAGAATTCATACCTCTATTATTTTAGGTTTGAGTTGATGTTCGTAAACTATAATCAGATTACACTTGCATAGTCATTTCCGTTAATTTATTTAAAAATCTATTTTCATATTTGGTAAAACAAATAGCAAACAAAATATCTATCAAATGAAGAAAGATCATGCTCCTGCATACTTTGAAGAATTATGTATGGTGTCATCATTGATTGAAATTTAAATACTCACCCCTACTAATGTGTTCGGAACTTTTTATTTTTCGGTGTTCTGCAAATTATAAAATCCAAGGAGTTCAAAGTAACTTTGACAAAGGGACAGTAGCTCTGGAGAAAGTCAGCGAGACTACAGAGAGATAGGGTAAATTATTCACGGAAATGTGGCTAGGAA